TGCATACTGGACCAGGACTGACTACCTATGCTGGTAGGCCCTGCCCATTAAAATCAGATTTTCAATGACCACAGAGAAACTTTCCACTTTCAGCAGATGATTGTAGTCCTACAGATGGATCTTAAGTCCTAATTGTGTATGAGATGTCATTTAATGAAGAATGTGTATGCCCATGCATGTTTTCTTTTCTTCTCCCTACATTATGCTTTATATATATATCTCTTACAGTAGGCTATATTATGTTAATAAGGGCTATATTATATAATTTACTGTCTATTTAGATGGGGAGTTTGATGTGAAAGGGTTACATAAACAAAATGTAAAACAAAACTTTTATAAGCATTATAAAATTAAGACTGATGATCACTTTTGACAGAAATAGTTACAGCAAAATGAAGCAGAATTCAGCCTTAATGCAAGCAATACATCAGCAATAACAAGAGTGCCATCTGAGGGGAACTTCTTCGACTAACGCAGACTCTCGTCTACATTCCAAAACAGAGGGAATAAAGGAGCCATCACTGAAGACCCCCGTTATCCAGAGGTCTTACTTGACTGTCTACACCTGGACACTCCTCAGCCCCAACTCTGCTTCTTTAAGAAGGAGTTATAGTAGTGCGTAAGTGGATTGTCCTCCAATAAATGGTCCGGCGACTCACTCACACCAAACGTAGTTCGAACATTTTTCAACTTGCCTCGGCTGTACTTGCCCGCAGCTACAAAGCTCTTAAAAAAGCACCTAAATAGTCTCATTCAGCTATATAGCTGTGCTCTTAAAATTCGGCCCACACAAAATCCATTAATCACCATTTCCTAATTAAATATATCTTACCTTATAGCGCGATGCTTGCAACTGGCCAAGCGAGGTGCGGTTTGTTTTGGTGGAGGGCTTTAAGATGACATGCGAAACATATCTAAAGTTTAGAACACTGACTTATGTAAGTATTAGAGTATCAAATGGCGCCGAATTTAGCAGTAGACTGCATAGATTCCTAAAATATGTTTGGTTGGGTATTATTCTGTAAGTTCACCTTCAGAGACGTCCGAAAAGGTTCAAGTGCGAGAGTTTTCAATGGAGTTTGGCGTGTCATTTTTCATGCAGGATACAAGACGGCGTATATGGGTCTATACTATACAATCATCACCTACAGTAAGGCTGATTCACCGCACCATCCTACCTAACCCCACCCAGCCAATAACACCTAAAGCACATCGTCATCTTCATCTCTGTTCCAGTGAAGGAAAGCGGTCCCGTCACTAAGCACACAGTGAGACCTTATCTGCATCCTGAAGGTTAAATACTTGATGAGTCAGTAAGACTGCTGGTCCCCCAAGACACCGCAAACCAGAGACATTCTAGCCGGGATACTCGCCTTCAGTCAGGCAGCACAGCCCGGTCCTCTCCAGTGTTCCTGCCGGTGAGATGCTGCTGTCCCATGGCTGCAGCCTGCTCCTCCGTGTCCTCTGGCCGGCCGGAGTAGGAGGGTGCGTCTGTGTGCTGAGGAGGGCAGGATGACAGGAAGCTGGGAGGCATCTGTCTGTCTGTCTGCGCCATAGGCTACCCCCGACTGCTGCAAGTTTGAATTTAACCTTTGTTTATCCAGAGAGTCAGCTGAGCTCCATGCAGCTTCACATTGACTCAAATATGCTGTGCCTGTCTGTTTTATTTATAGGTGTTGCCCTCCACCCAATCATGCATGTATCCAGTACACACTATATGTTGTATTATTAAAATAAATGATGATTCATATGGTATTAAGGTTATAAGACTTCTATAAATGAGCTAAATTGATTTTCAGATCCTCACTGAACCCTTCCCTATAAAGTGATAGGAAGTGAGAAAAACAATTAAACAAAGTATTTAAGATATCTTTACTCTCAAATGATCCCATATAGGTTTGTATGTTGAGATCAATGATGATTAGTGTATTTTTATTTGGCTTAATGACTGAATACACATTTATTTCAGAGGTACACTGGAGATATCGAGTGTTCTGGAGCAATCTGAGCCAACAAATCATCACAAAGAGATAACAACAATATCAGAGGATCTGCTGAACAGCTTTAGCTTGAATCTGTCGCCACTGTGTGGCTAACCAGCTCTGGTTTCTGATATCTCTGTTCATGTCCTTAAATGATCCTTCTTGACATGCATTTTCAGGAATCCCTGAAATTACTCATTTGGTCGATTTGCCTCTACAGATCTGATATAAATTTGATTTTCTTTGGCCACCTGTCACTCTTTGACCAATGACTATAATTAAATTTGAGTTTTTTTTTTATGAATCATCAAGTTTACATCCCGACTCGCTCTCCTTATGATTACAATCATGTTTGGGTTTTTTGTCACCTGCCAATCAACTTTTCTTTATGAGACAAATGCTGATCCATACTTTTGTTGTCTAATCCTTCCATTTCCCATCCCCTTCAGGCTGCACAACACTCCTGCAGCACGTGGGCCTACTGAGATGTTGCTGCTGCTGCACCTCATTAAAAGCTCTGTGTATAACTCTGTCT